CTGTAATGTATACATGTCATATAGTTCAGGACATTATTTATTGAACAGCCCTCGTAGTTTGGACAATGGACACTTTTTTCCTGGTAACTTTCTTCAGATTTGATTCTCTTTCTTTTTCAATTAGCCCCCCGGTCACGGTAGCCTAGTGGTAGAGCGTTCGCTTCGTGATCGGGAGGCCCGGGTTCGATTCTCGTTCCCTGCGCCGCGTCATACCGAAGATGTAAACAAAGGTAGTGACTGTTCCTTCGCCAAGCGCTCGACACTAGAAGTGAAAGTCACGGGTCTTTCGGATATGACCTTAAAAACGTAGGTCCCGTGTCACGGTAGGCGCTGGCACGATAAAGAACCCTCACTTCTCAAAGGCCTTGAGTGCCGAGCATGGAACAAAATTTGTAGCCCTCCACCGGCAGGTGGTGGCGTCTCCATATGAGTGAAAAATCTCGAGAGGGACCCAATATACAATCGATCACATGCTACAAGTTCGATCAGTAACACTGATCATTGATTTATTCAATTTAAGATTTTAACAGCAAAATCATGCAAGCACCAACTTTAAGCATAGTGTTTATTATATCCTCCCCCCAATAAATTGATTTTCATTTCAGGACACATTGTGCAGTCAGGGAGGTCTCATGTACAGTAATTTACATCTATTAGTTAATCAACATTTTTAGAATTTAATTCTACAATTTTATATCAAAATTAAATAGGGATAGGGAATCACTGTCTAAGTAAGTATATTGTATCATAAGCACATATATGCCAGTGACATCAACACTAGTGGCAAACGTGGGATAATTCATGCATAGTGCTTAGTATCGTTGATGCCATAGAATACTACACAGACTAGACAGTTAATTTACTTAAATGCAGTACATAAAACAGTTGTAAGCATGTATAAAACACATATGTATTTAGAATCCAGTCGATTTTTTTGACGTGTTGCATTCTTACCTTGTGCGAAAATATTGTAGTGACTTTGTTCTTGTTCCCCCTTTTCTAGCTGCATTTGGGATCTGGGCCAGGACAATGCTAAGCTAGGTCTCATATGCATCTTACATGTAGCTTTTGAACAGATGTTTTCGTGGGCAAAAATAATTTTTGTGGAACGAACGGTTGTAATCATCATCGAGTCCATGGAGTAACATGCACATTTTTACATTTCCGGAGGATCCAGAGTTTTTTTCAGGACATGAATTAGTGTTTCAAAGCGGCAAAAGAACTAAACGGTTACCGAGTCTCTAATCTGCTAATGACGCTTCACCATGTTTTACCCCTGACCTCGCTTGACCCCAACATCCGCCGCAATGCATTATTGGAATGTACAAGTCGAGAATAGGTCTAAATTTGAAGCCCTTCACGGGCATACGGTGACGTCTCCATATGAGTGAAAAATTCTCAAGAGGGACGTTAAACAATATACGATCGATCAATTAGCCCCCCCTTCCCGTCCCTCACTTCCAATTCGCTTCCGACACCGATGTAATCAATGCACACTTATTTCAGTAATTCAGTTATATGTTATATTCTTAGAATAAAACATTAAGAAAAAATACTTAAGATTTCAAAATTATATGTTTCTTTAAAATCGCAATATTTCGATTAATGTTTACTAGTATTTAACAAGAAGTACATTTGTATATGTAAATCCTGAATATTATTAAACTCAGTTACGCAAAATTCTATTTAGTTCAGAAATTTGTTTATTTATATTCGCTCTATATTAACAGCTCTTCATTTATTTTAATTTTAAAATTCGTATTATTAGCTATAGTATTTGGGAAATGGTGAGAGTTTAACGCATGATACACGCACGTTTAAATGCTTATTTAGTTGTGCACATTAATAACTCAAAATGTCCAACTTGAAAAACGATTTTTCGTTTCAAAATAAAACGTTTAGTGATATTTTGGCATAGTTAATCAAACAGTTTAAGAATAAACTTCACAATACATATTTGATTTGTTAAGTAGAGGATGAAAAAGGGGGGTAATTTCCTCTTTTGGAGATTAGTACCATGTGTATTTGAAGAACTTTTTTTTGTATTTGTGACTGAGCTGTTTACTTCATTTTTGTAGTTTTTTTTATCAAGAAAGTTCGTCTTAGATACACAACAATATTTGTAATTTAACCCCCCCCCAAAAAAAAAAAATCAACAGGATAGTTTGTACGGAATTTCCAAAGCGGCCCATCCATCGAATTAGAGAAAGTTGGGTTTTTTTTAAATTGACTAGTTTCTCTTTTTAGCTCACCTGAGCCAAGGCTCAAGTGAGCTTTTCTGATCAAAATTTGTCCGTCTTCTGTCGTTGTCGTCGGTGTAGTTGTCGTTGTTGTCATAAACTTTTCACATTTTCATCTTCTTCTCGAGAACCAGTGGGCCGATTTCAACCAAACTTGGCACAAAGTATCCTTGGGTGAAGGAGATTTTTTTTCAAAAGAAGGGCCACGCCCTTTTCCAAGGGGAGATAATCATAAATTTGTTAAAAATAAATGGAATTTTAAAATGGGCCAGGAAAGATGAAACGCATGTGGAAGCATCCTCAGGTAGTGTAAATTCAAGTTTGTGCAAATTATGACCCCCGGGGCAAGGTTGTGGCCAAAATGGCCGACCCAAGTTTTTCATAGGAATATAAAGGAAAAATCTTAAAAAATCTTCTTCTCCAGAACCACTGGCCCAGGAAAGATGAAACTCATGTGGAATCATCCTCAGGTAGTGTACATTCAAGTTTGTTCAAATCATGACCCATGGGGCAAGGGTGGGGCCAAAATGACCAACCCAAGTTTTACATAGGAATATAAAGGAAAAATCTTTAAAAAATCTTCTTCTCCAGAACCACTGGGCAAGGAAAGATGAAACTCATGTGAAATTATCCTCAGGTAGTGTAGATTCAAGTTTGTTCAAATCACGACCCCCTTGGCAAGGGTAGGGCCAAAATAGCCGACCCAAGTTTTACATAGGAATATATAGGAAAATCTAAAAAAAGATTTCTCAAGAACCACTAGGACAGGAAAGATGAAACTCATATGGAATCATCCTCAGATGTGTACATTCAAGTTTGTTCAAATCATGACCCTTGGGGCAAGGGTGGGGCCAAAATGGCTGACCCAAGTTTTACATAGGAATATATAAGAAAAATCTTTAAAAATCTTCTTCTCCAGAACCACTGGGCAAGGAAAGATGAAACTCATGTGAAATCATCCTCAGGTAGTGTAGATTCAAGTTTGTTCAAATCATGACCCCCGGGGCAAGGGTGGGGCCAAAATGGCCGACCCACGTTTTACATAGGAATATATAGGAAATATCTTTAAAAATCCTTCTGAAGATCCACAGGGCCAAGAAAGATGAAACTCGTGTGGAATCATCTTCAGGTAGTGTAGATTCAAGTTTGTTCAAATCATGACCCCCGTGGCTAGGGTGGGGTTGAAATGACCGACCCAAGTTTTACATAGGGATATATAGGGAAATCTTTTAAAATCTTCTTTTCAAGTGCTTCAAAGCTATGATTAGTGGTATTTATATGGAATCATCCTCAGGTAGTGTAGATTCTAGTTTGTTCAAATGATGAACGCCTGGAAGGGGGGGGGGGTAAATTCAAGCCCGATGTGCTCAGGTGAGCGCTGTGGCCCCTGGGCCTCTTGTTGTTTGCTTGTTTGTTTGTTTCGTTTAGCTTATTAATTTTTTGTAAGGTGTTTTGTCAAAATATTTCAGGGGGTTTTGACACCATTCCCCGCCTAAGACAAAAAAATCCAGGACTCTCTCTCTCTCTCTCTCTCTCTCTCTCTCTCTCTCTCTCTCTCTCTCTCTCTCTCTCTCTCTCTCTCTCTCTCTCTCTCTCTCTCTCTGTGTGTGTTCTTTGAAAAGGGATGCTCTTTTTAGTTTATATTAGTTGTTTAGTACAAGTTGCAGGGACGACATTTTTAATTGTTGGTATCAAACATGATGAGAAGTGTAGCTTCTTGTCCATCCCAGACTCTAACTCTTGTACTCATTCTCAAGGTTATGCTCTGAAGAATTTTTAGGCTGAGACAGGCTACTGACAGATAAGTTTGTTACACTGATTTTTTTTTTACAAAAATAACCTATAATATATGGATTCAGTTTAACCGATGTCTTCTTCTAATTTTTAGGCTATAAATTTTGTTAATTTTTATGCTAAATTGACTAGATGGGATTTCGAGGATTCTATGTCTCTATTCATTATCATAGTTTTGTAGTTATTTATGGATGCTATGGATTTTAGAAAGTATTGTCAAAAAATGAAGTCCCAATGCTTGAAAATAAGTAAAATCGTGTACATATATACATGGGATGATAGGTTTATTTCTCTTATTCCTGAAAGGGAAAAATTGAAACCAAAATATAAATAAAGAGATAATGATGAATATGTAAAACAATTCCCAATTCATAAAATTCATAAAATGTTGAAACTCTGAGGTGGGGGTCAATATTCAACAGGGTCAATTTTCAATTTATTGAGGTCATAGGGGTTAAGACAAAAAATATCAAGCTGTTGAAAAATGACGCCGGGTATAAATTCAACGACTTTTGGTCTCAATTTTCAATGGAGAAAAAACACCCTCGGTTCAAAATTCAACGATGAAAAATGAACCTCGGGTCAATTTTCAACGTAACACCGGCTTTCAATACTGGCTGATGCTAATTTATAAACAAGCTGTTTCTGATAATCTCAAAGTTAGAAGAAGTATTTTAATATTGATTTTTAATAAAAAGTTCCATTGATCATTACCTATAGTTTTTATAAACAAAATACTTAAAGCCTAGAATATACCGTGTTTGCTCTGCTGTTATTTTGTATATTGTTTAATGGACGTTGAGATTGAATACTGTTCGTTATCTCCATATCCTTCTTGTTTTAATGTTGGCATTACTATTAATATGCTTCGAATTCTTAAATGCTGTGCACCATTTAAGCTTACAATGTTTAAAATAACAGATGATACGCGACAACAAATTATGAAACATCTAAATATGTTTTCAGTAAGAAGACCTATGGATCACAGATATTATGAAAAAAATAAAACTGATTTTGAAAAGAAGACTCTGACTTTGTTTGACTTTGGGGGCCAGTGTGCGTACTACGCCTGTCACCAGATTTACCTGACCAGGAGAGCTTTCTATGTTGTGGTGGTGGACGCCTCTAAACGTCTTGACCAGAAGGTGGATAAGAAAGTGTGTGACCAAGGCGGTAGTGTTTTTTCTGGATGGACATATGGAGGTATAAATTTTTCTGACTGAATATTTTTTTTCTTATTTTTGTTTATACTTATATATAAATGTGTATAAAATTGCATAATATTCCTAAAAATATATGACATAATACTTTTAAAAAGCAAACCATGACCATAACTTTTAAAGAGTTAGGACTAGAGTGTTTCATACTTTACATATTTATACCCCCGCTCTGAAGGAGAGGGGGGGGTATACTGTTTTACCCTTGTGTGTCTGTCTGTCTGTCCGTCCGTCCGTCTGTCTGTCTAGCTGTCAAGTTGTCCGTGTGTCTGTCCGTAACAAATTTTTGTCGCATTTTTCTCAGCAACTACTCATCCTAGATGCTTGAAATTTTAACACAATCTTCTATGAGGCATGTCATATAGTGGATTAAATTTTTGATAAAATTCGACCTCAACTTGTTTGTCTGTGCGTCTGTCCGTTTCATACATAACAAATTTTCGTCACAGTTTTTTCAGCAACTACTCATCGTAAATGCTTGAAATTTTATTATACTCTTTGTTGATGCATGCCATATAGTGGGATTAAGTTTGATATGAATCTGATGTTATCTTCATATTTTCTGTGCATCTGCCTATAATTGAACTTGTGTATGTTAACATCATAGTGCTTATTTACATTAGAGCGGAGGTATTACTTGTGAGCATTGGCTCACAGATTTCTTATTGATTCTTATGACAAGACCTTTCATTTGATAACAATAACTTTGACCCTTTGACCTTGACCTTGGAGTTTGACATACTTTTTTAAGAAATTAAACGTTGACCATAACTTCTGAACGGTTAGGACTCGGGCTGTCATGCTCTACATAAGTATTTTATGTGGTATGACCTTCCATTTGATACTAATTACATTGACCTTTTGACCTTGACCTTTGAGATTTTTGTACTTATTAAAAAAATTATCATTAGCTTACTTTCACATTTCTTAATTGTTTTCCAGTGAGAATATCCTACTTTTGGTAAAAATTAATTAAATCTACAGTTAAGAAAAGCTTAATCTTTGCTATTTTGCCACACGGGGGCATCAGTGTTTTACAAACACATCTTGTTTTTTATCTGTTAAACTTAATAACGATATAAATTTTCACTTTACAAATATGCTTGTGTGAGGGGAATTCAAGTTGTTATCATTTCATAACCTTCTGAATAAAAGCTTTTTTTTAATTGACACCTGTTTTAGGTCTTCTAAGTCAGGTAAATTTTGCTAACTGTTTAAGTCCGACGTCGTCCGTCGACAATTAATAATCTGTCGTAAATATTTGATTGTTTCAGTTTCTCTGGAACGCGCTAAAATAATTTTGACCAACGGCATCCATGCAAAATTTTCCTTAAAAAAAAAAAGCTTACAGAAGAACAACACCCCGAAGTATAAGGACGTTCAATCCTGATAATTTGAGCGTATTTTGGTCAGGTCCTTTATTTTTAAAATTATACATCATGTTTAAGTTCTAACAATAAAACTGAATTCTACAATGTAAATTAAACTATATTTAATGAAAAAACTGCGATTATACTCATTCAAGTAGAATAAAGCTAGGAACTATATTTTATGGCGGAAGGTTTTTTAGACGAAAATGATTAGTTTTTTTCTATTTGAACTATAACAGCACTATTAGTTTTGGATTCCTATTTTTCCATGCTGGCTGCACACAAAGCTGTTTTTTGCAGTGAAATATGTTTTGCTGGTTCTGAAATATCTATTAAATTATTTCTTATGAATTCTATCAACTAATTGTGACAAATACAGTAAATATATTCTGAAAATACGGGAAAAAATTGAGCCAATTTTAACGTAAAATTGACACGTTTTTAGTCATATCTGAAAATGTACATCTAAACATCGTATACCCCCACCCTCACTGTTCATGTTCTTTTCTATATATTCAAGATAACTTTGACCTATTTGCTTAAAATCAGAAAAAGTTTAAGACTTTATAAATATTTTTCTTGCTTATTAAAATTTCAATGCCGGAAAAATCACATTTAACATGTTTTATTAGTGCAGAAAGGTCAAATTATTGATTATGCGTGGTAATTTGAAACATTTTCTTGTCACAATTTTTAAGTGTCTTTATTTAAACAAATTAGTGTTCATTTTGTTTCACGCTTTAATTGGATAAATTTATTGGAGCGAAAACGTCGAAGATGTAATTTTTGATTAAGATACAAGTGTTTTGAATTTTATATATGTGAACCGAGATTTTTCGTAAAACCATACTTAACTCGGGGTTTTGGCAGCAATTTGATTTTCCATCTATTTTAGAAGGCACTTTCCATCTGTACAAATCTTATGTTATAAAATATACAGATTATTGCTATTCTGTTGCATTATTTTTGTCACAAATGACAGAGGAAAGGCTGACCCGGATAAGTATATACATGTAGCTGCCTGTCTTCAAAAGAGAATAAAATCGACAATTAGTATAACTGTTTTAGTATCTTAAATCCATATGAATTTCACAAAATATTAATGATTTTTGCTTTTAAACTCCATTTTATGTATCTTGTAAATGCCGTCTAAGGCAACTTCTCTTTGCACGACATGATCAATTCTAAATTAATATATGACGTCATCGGTAGTAGATTTTAATCAAAATGACAGATATTATTTATTTTTTATTAATGTCTACACGTTTCTATTCATTTTATAATGTTAGATTACATCTCTAAATACGAATATTACAAAAACTTGTATTCTAAAATTGACGTCATTTGTTTACTATTTGACGTCATAATGTGCACTGATTTAGTGAAGGTAGAATATTTTGTATGCTTCCTTATTACCCCTGCATTAATTTCAGGGCCCCTAGGTCAGCGATACTTGGGGGACGGGTTGCAAATTCTAAAAGGAAATTGATGCTTTGAAATCTGCTCTTTGGTATCAATCAATTGTTATTAAGAATTTTTTTTACGATAAAATTCCAAAATTTTAAACTGTGGTTAAATGGTTCCTGTGGGATAGGGTGCACAACAGCTAGGTTATAAAGTGGAAATACATTTTCTTTTAGATACTCTGGTCTACCTCTGGGTATTTAGTAACCAGAGTCAGCATGCTTAGTGCATAGTTATGATAAGCAACGGTCCCTCTGATTTTTGAAATTGTGAATATTATGGTTTAAGCACCAAATCCATTTGTTCGAAAGCTGTTACATGATACACAGGTGACCTGTTTTTGCTTTTAATGTTGTCAATTATTGCAATCCCCAGTGCTACAGTTCTAACAATTTCGGTGTAATTATAAGAAAATCTCCGATTTCTTTATATTTGAATTATTTTGACAAAAAATATCCAATTTTTTTTCTTTAGACTACTTTGTGTTCTGGATCAAGTCTATACACACCTACTGTGGTTCTGAAAATGACAATGAAAAAGATCAAAAGCCCATAGTTATGATTGCAGCTACTCACTGGAAAAAAAGGAACAGACAGTTTAAGGTGAACGTGTTTGATATAAGGCAACTGTATTTCATTTAAAAGACATACTGTGCACGTGGTTTCATCAAAATTCGTTGAGCACCAATTTTCGTGGTTTTCGTTGTTGAGCAGATCCACGAATTCAAATGTTAATTGAATTACGGAAGATGACATTTATTTTTATTATATACCTAATGTGTATCACTCAATTTTACTGTTGAATTTACGCTATCACGTGACGTCGTGATCCGATTTTCCGGATCACCAACATGTTGTTTTCTGAATCCATATCACCACTCTCTGAAACTGATGACGTAGTACGCAGAAATATGACGTTATTTGTTTTGCGCGTTAAAAAGTCCCTTATTGTTATGCTTTGTTTAATCGATTAATATTATACAATTGATCTCTAACGGTTTATTTTAATATATTTAGCCAGTTATAAGGGGGTATATAATAAATTTATCATTATATCATTAACTTTATCCGAAGAGCCGTACCACGTCTCGTTGACAGGCGCGGATCATCAGATCACGCTCGCCGCTTCGCGTCTCGTTTTATTTGACGATCCGAGCCTGTCAACTCGACGTGATACGACCCTTCGGATCAAGTTACTGTTATAATAATATATATATATCTAATAAATTACGTATGTTATAACGCACTTTGAAAAATTACGCACTTTAAATACTTTTTTCAAAGTTAGTTAAAATTTGAGACCAAGCTAACGCATTTTGAAAAAATATTTTTTTTTTTCAAATTGCGTTAATATCGACCATATTAACGCACTTTGAAAAAATGTAAAGATTAATCGATATTCCTTCAAATAAACGGTATGATAAATAACAGATCCTGGTTGATAACTTTTTTTATGATAAAGTCACTGTAGGACCTGAGATATTGACGTTTTAAATATTTAAGGTATTGATAAAATAAAAAGAAAACTAAAAGGTCTTGAAAAAAAGAGTGACGATTGTTTAAGTTCATTAATTCGTTTCTTCTTTTTTTTTTTATTCTAGTCTTTGATAAGTAGATGTAAAGGTGTATAGGGGGCACTAACAGAGGACAGCTTCAAGCAACTTAGCATTTATCATAATAAAAAGGGGTCAATTTGATTGTTCAAAACTATGAAAATTCTTTCTCTCTCATACGTTTTATTGTACTTAAAAATTTCTAGTTTCCATCTGTTTTAATTAACTCATTTATAATTGAAAGTTTTCAACGTCATACCATTTAGGTAAATACATAATTATATGAATGCTTTGAGTATAGCATAGACATAGAGACTGGGCGAAGGGCCAGGGGAGGGGATGGGGGGGTAAGCCCCCCCCCCCCCCCACTTATTTTGGAAAGATATATACATTGATAAGGATTGAAAATGCAGCGTACTCTTTTTCAGGTTTATTGCTCCCCTCCCCCGTTTGTTACCGACACCTATGTATTGGAAAGATAAAGATTTGGTCGTAGGGATCTTATACCCGTCTTCTCCTCTTTTTGACGGGAGTAAAATCAATTCATTTTTGAGGTTAGGGTATAGGCTTAGTTTTTTGAAAGATATAAATAACAAATAAAATCTTTTCATGACTAAAATATGATTGTTTTTTTCAAAGTGCGTTAAGTGTCTCATGGTAAAATACATTGATGTAGACTCTTAACGCACTTTGAAAAATATTTTCAAAGTGCGTTGAGTTGGTCTCAAATTTAACGCACTTTGAAAAAAAAATTTCAAATTGCTTAATTTTTTCAAAGTGCGTTGCCTCATACGTATCCTCGAAAACGTATGTTTTACAAAATCCACGAAAATTCATGCCAACGAAAATTTCGAAACCACATGCACAGTATAATGAATAATTTGGGGTTTTTTAGCTTTAGGTGAATTAGTTCTTATTTTACCTTAACATCGAGTGAATAAATGTTATAGAAGAGATAAAGTTGAAATTTATATAATTAATTTAGGCATTTGATGGCTTTATATTTTAGTGTATTGTCTTGTCAGTCGAATTAGTTTGTCCCGATGTAGATCACTGGGAAACACACAGATCGATGTCCCTGATTATATTTTTGGAATACTTAAATTGATTCAGGATTATTCTAAAATCAACATAATAAAGGATGATCACATTGCCCTTTTAACAGAAAGCCAAATTACATGTACTATAACCATTTTTAAAGTAATGGAAAGTTAATGTTTTATTAATGCAGGATAAAAAGGAATTGATGGAGAGTTTGCAGTGTAAGTTACCAGAGTCATCTCGTTTATCACAGTATATCGAAGAAAATAACGTTTATTGTGTAGATTTAACGTTACCTCTCCATGATTTGGAGAAAAGCCTTTTCAACATAGCTTCCGATCAACGATGGAGTGAACAAATTCCAAAAGAGTGGTCTATCTTTGGAAAAGAAATCTATCAGAAAAGAATCTTACAAAGAATACTGAAGATTTTTGAAATAACAAAGGAAGTACAAAAGATTACAAATAAAGGACAGAATGTTCCTACAAAAGTTGAAAAGACAAAGGAAAACCTAGATATGCTAAGATATTATCACGATGCTGGGAAAGCTTTATATTTTAATGAAAACGGACTGAATGAAAACATTATTATTGATGTACAATGGTTTATTGACGCCTTCAAACATATCATCACAGACGAGATACATTTCAGAGGTATTCCTGGGACTCAGAGGGAGTGGAATGAGTATTATAATACTGGAAGATTGCGAGACGGACTTCTGATTGAGATCTGGAAACATAAAGATAAAGAGTTGTTTGATTCCTTAAAGAAACAAAATAAAAACTACCGTATTAGAGAGGGATCTTTTGAGCAAGATGAACTCTATTTACAATGTCACAAGAAATCACTTCTCAATTTTATGCAGAGACTTGGATTACTGGCTGCTGGTGGAGAATCCCACTATGTCCCGTGCATGAATCGTAAGAAAATAGAAAAAGAATTTCTGAACCTCATCAAAGAATCGAAGAGTAAATCATCTGTCCTTATTTATCAGTTTGAGTTTCTGCCATTTTTCTTGTTTTTTCGGCTTGTTGTTGCTTGTATCCAAGAAAATGGTTGGAATGTCCCACAAAATCAAGGAACATCTTGCCTCTACAAAAATGCTGCCTTGTTTTCCTATATGGAATACAACATTCTTTTATCCGTCACAGAGGAATCTATACAGCTTCAAGTATTTTGCCCGATAAAAGGACCTACTTTGGAAACAGAAAAAACATGTTTAATTCAAGGAAGAATAGAAGAGCTTTTAAATGATTTAGCAGGAACATTTCATAGAAAAATACAGTATGAAAGAGGCTTTAGATGTCGAATGGACAAAAAAAGAACGATTGCTATTGATATTAAGGACCATTTCCTACCTGCTAAAGACATTCCAAATAGAGTCCTTCAAATGATGTGTCCTTTGCATTCGATTAAAAAACGGCATATCATTGATACAACTGAACTAACCAGATATTGGAAATTGTAGAGAAAGACATCATGATCACCCAATAGTAACGATTTGAAAGAATTCCAAACGTTGCATTTTCTAATACTTCAGAAAATTATATTCATCGTATACATGTTTTCCCTTTTTGTCTAAGGTTCGAAAAACTTTTTAAATGCTTTTATATTTGAATATCTTGCATTTTTTGCTCAGTCAACGGCTTAGAATGTGCATTTTTATTTATACTGGTATTCAGTGTTTTGGTATATCATTAGCAATTTAATCTCAAATTACTCTTCACTAAGAATCTGTACACATACATGAACTGTGCCTTGTATATTTTAAGTCTTTTAGATTAACGCAATATGCTTACAGATATATGCTGGAATTATTTGTTATTCTTACTTACCATACTATTGAAAAGAGGATACTTCCTATATGCTAAAATCTACATATGTATACAATGTGTGAACTCGGTAATGATAAAAGTGATATGTACCAATAAACGAGGAATTTTTAGAAATAGACAACGAATGATTGCAGCAGAGTTAATGCTCATTTCTCTAATAATACGCAACGAACCTGTGTAGAAAGGGTCGTGTCTTTAATCTAAATATGCAGATTTCATTTGCAGTGGTTAGAGCTTCTGATCTCTAGAGTAAAACCGTTCACGATAGCTCAGTCGATAGAGCGCTCGCTTTGTGATCGGGAGGTCGTGAGTTCGTTTCTCGGCCGCGACTGACCTAGTCGTAAAAATTGATAGTAACTGTTCATTCGCCATGCGCTCGGCACTTTGAAGTGAAAGTTGCGAGACCTTCGAATGAGATCTTAAAAACCGAGGTCCCGTGTCAGCGGCAGGCGTTGGCACGACAAAGATCCCTCACTGCTCAATGGCCCTTAGTGTCGCGTAAAGGTCAAAATTTGAGGGACGTTAAACAATACACAATCAATCAATCAATGAATCTCTAGAGTAAAACAGTGAGGAGATGATCCTTACGTCGCGGGTTCGAATCCCACTGTGGGATGTGGAGACCGGTCCTTCGGATGAAGCCTCGTGTAACATTAGTTGCTTGCAAGAAAAAGACCCCTCTCTGCCCCAAGACCCTGAGTTTCGAGTATATGGCAAAATTTGCAGCTTTCCACGGGCAAGTGTTGGCGTCAGCATATGAATGAAACATTCTCCATTCTCGAGTGGGACGTTAAACTACATACAAACAATTAATCAATATCGTAATTTCTATAAATAAAATGCTTTTGCTTTTCATATAAAATCGTTAAATAGCTAAATAGCAAAAATATACAATGTGAGAATATGAGGCAGATCAACTGGCATTTTAATATCAAAATTACAACAATTCCTTTGACTTAATTAGCATAATACATTTATATATGTTTAGAATAAATAAAATAATAGAGAAGACAATGTTTTGGTTTTCATTTGTCCTGAACATTCAAAATGTTTAGAAACCGGTATTAGCTGACGGTACGATTGTGATAAAAAAAAAGAATGAAAGAATGCGGTATGAAGAGGGACCATATTTTTAATATGAAACGTAATTAACTAATTAATATTGATCAATTTTCTATTTCAAACAGAAAAAGGTCCACAAATGACTCAGGAAACAGTGTCCACAACCTTTGTTAAATTTTATTTTCAGATATCGTATATATATACAAGGGCAAATTCATTGAAACTAGGATCCACAATTAGAAGAAGGTATTAAGGAAAAAATGAGAAAAATGATTTGTATTATCTTATCGTATGCCTTTTCATGACTTAAACAGTACGATTTTTTACATCACTTCATAGGACAATTACAGGACTAGGTATATAGTGAAAAAACGTGTATGGTTTTTATGTTTTTGTTTTTGATTGTTCTACAGTTTATGGTTAATAAACCCTCTGCTAACTCACATAAAAGTTTCTTTGCGATTTTTCAAAGGAAATACATATGCTATGTAAAATAAAAATAATTCTAGCATGGCTTGCGGGAAATATTGGACAAAAAAGACACTTGACAATTTTATAAAAGGATAATAGACATTTATGTCATTAAGAGTAATCTTTCCTATCAGAGTATCAATGTACCTTTCGATTAAAATATCAAGATTAAACTAAATTATCTGAAATTTTATGTAAAAATGAAATCGATAAATTTCTATAAAACTCTTTTTTACGAGGTAATCTGAGGATGCGTAGTGCAACAGTAACGAACATCTGTATATTAAAAAATAATTTAATTCTAGTTGTAACGCTTTATTTGATTGGATAAAAAATTATTTCATACTGTATAAAATTGGTTGCATGCGTCACAATGACTTGCGTCAGAAACGTATTAATCCGCCTGACGTTACATTCAAATTTTGTACAAATTGAAGTCATTTTGTTTGTACAATAATCGTTTTTTTCTTACATTAAATGAATGAAAATTAAATTATAAGGAATGAATTTAATAGCTACCGTATAAAATGGGTAGCTATTAAATTCATTCCTTAAATATTATGTTGTAAATTTTTGTTTAGGAAAAAGGAAAATAATATTTGTAAGTGTGCTAAAAAGTAGAATGTTTTGTCTCCCATAACATTGATTTCATGGAGAGTCAAACATGTTTGGACAAACACGGAATTTTGAGAAGTAAAATGAGATAGTTATACTGATATCAGCTAAATAAAACCTTGCATAGTGTTTCTTAATCCTTGTAATGAATGCAATGCATATAGTGGCTAAATTTTATGTTGCACTCAATTTAAACGAAGTTGGACCGAACTTCAACGACTCTATCATAATATGACTATAAAGTCATATTCTCTGTAAAAATGGAGCAAAATTTTATCACACTCGGCAACATCAAAACTTACGACTTTGAAACTTTATATATAACTATTCCATGCGATAATTTACGTCCAGACCTTTGACATCACTGAGAGCTGCTTTTTCAAGGAAAATGGAGCTCGTAAATTCACTTGTCTTGTCATTAGTTATTTGCAAAATTGTTAAAACGTTCTGATGGTACACACACATACCTTGAAGTTGATATCAAAAAGATACTTGAGTCTCTGATAGACAATACCAGGTATCTTCCAACAATCTACTGGAATTCCAATCGTAACCAATCGCACTCCGCTGTGACAGAGCTATTTTTGTATTCATATTAAGCAGAATCTGTTCAAATCTGAAAGGAAGAAAACGCTTACCATGACCTTCAACTCTGCAATAAGATATATCGACATTCCTGTAATTTTTTTTAAAATAATCTAAGTTAAATATATCTCTACATATTTTCAGCATCTTATTCTCTCTTTAGATATAATAAATCACCACTATCTTTACTCTATGTTCTTACAGTAATGTTTTACATTACCATTACTTTAGTATAGTAATGCATTAATGCAGTTGATTCGTTACGCAAGAGCATGCTCTACGTATGAACAATTTATTAAACGAGGTAAATTATTGACATGCAAGTTGATGAAACAAGAATATCAACAGTCTCGTTTAAAGTCATCATTTCGTAAATTCTATGGTCGATACAATGACCTTGTCAGCAAATACAATTTATCATTGAATGAAATGCTGACTGACGTTTTTCATACCAATTGTTAGTCCATTATTTATACACTGAATTGACTACGGATTTTTTCCGTTATTTCCTGATTATGACAATGAGCACACGGCGGGTGTGACCGGTCAGCAGGGGATGCTCACTCCTCCATGGCACCTGATCCCACCTCTGATGTTTCGGAGGTCCGTGTTTGCTCTGCTCTTGTTTTGTATATTTGTTTAATGGACGTTGAGATTGAATACTGTTCGTTATTTCCATATCCTTACCATAACCAATACTTTTGAAGGTTTTATAAAAATAGAAACTTATACAAAACTTTGCGATTTTTTTTATAAGCATGTATCCATCCCCTTCAAAACATAAAAAAGGATAATTCAAATTTGATTGAAAGTTTTTGTAAAGATTACACTATCAATAACTTATATTCACAGAAAGTTCGAATTTTTAATTTGTCAGTTATTTGATATCATTTAATTCAATATTCTTTATTGTGACTATTGATGTCATGAAGAAATTAATCTTTTAGGGCACCTTAACCCCTGCTTAAATTTAATTTTAAGAAAAAGCATATAGGCTATTTGACTTGTACCATATGACCAAAATTAATGCATTATTTTTAGAAACAAGTAGACAGGATGTACATTTTGATCTACTAAGCATATTATACCTGTATGTCTTCTATTTTCTTTGGTACAATTCACTTATCATGGTCCGTTCAAGTTAGACCAGCTCAGTTGATGTTTTATAAACACCTGACTGAGTCAAGAGATAGAGACGGGTAATTTTGTGTATTTCTCCAAAGAGTGCACTGTATTTAAAATTGTTACATAACCCAGAGTAATAGTGTGTTTTGATGACATTCTATAGCTAGCTCTTCAAAAGGTGGCAATTATCAGTTTACGGTGTACATTAATAAGTATATTTTACAAAAAAATCTTTTAACACTATTTTAGATAACTCTTTGAAATCAATTATCTGAAATAAGTTTGAAAACTTAAACGTAAGGCAAGTGTACTTTCAGCAGAATAAAAAAGTGTATTAAAATAGATACAGAAATTTAATTTTATTTACATGTATATAAGTTAACTTACAATTAAATTAAAAAAAAATAAACAATAATTTCCATTATCCATGTCCATTTTGATTTCTTAAAGGTACATACAAAATAATGCTTTGTAATGCTATGTAATGACAGCATTAAACTAAATTCTATGAAGAAATGCATTACATTACCATTACATGTAATGCAAACTTTTGAGCATTACACATTACTAGCATTACTTTGATTTAATGTAACGCAATGCATAACCATTACTATTAGCATTACCCCAAGCTTGTTACTTTTTTTTTATAGTATCAACCCACTGCATTGGGGAAAAATGATATATTAGATATTCTTTTACTATTAAGCAAATTTATTTACATCCATTGAATTTATTTCTTATGAAGACCATTGCTATTTATCATTGTATCAAGCTTGTCACGTGCATAGATTTCTTCAACAGTTGCTGTTCCATTAATTATGCAAACAATACATATTTGTTTTAAATACAATATTTAACATATTTAATTTTACTTTGAATGTTTTTTTTCTCAAATAAATGCAACTATGAACACTAAAATGAATTTCTTTGAGTGTAAGTACGCGGGTTATTATCTTTATCTTCAACAGAGAAAACTACATTTCGTTTACTGATAACATACAGAGGTTTGTATGGAAAAACAATGAATTCAAACCCATTAAGGCTATTCCTATGTATTCCCGTACTAACAACAAAAGAAAACATTTTATTATTGAGGTGAAATCAACAATCCAAAATAACAAGCGGTGTGTTATCTACTATGTAAAAAAATGTTTTATGGAACATTTTACTCGTACAATCATGTTAGCCTTAAAAAAAACCTTATGATCTCTTATTGTCAACTTTCTATAATACAGTCTAAGATAATATACTCTAAGCTTTTAAGTGTGTCATGGCCTGGAGTGACCAGAGTATATCATATTGCTCTGATAAGAACTTAGGAGTTACCTGAACACACAAAAAATAATGAATTATAACTGGTTAATTACATTCATCTTTGTTTGCATTACAAAT